GAAGTCTGGAAGAATCTCTGGGAAGATGAGTCTAGTCCATTAGATCTACCCTACACCTGGTTTCCTTATTTATAAAATGAGATTATTGGAGCCATAGGTTTAAGCCCCTCATGCTATTCTTTGGTACCTTCAAAACATTCATATTCTACCTTTATAGGCTGATGGTGGTTTGGGCTTTTATTGTTTGTTTTTTGGTTTTTGGTTTTATTTTAAAGCAATCTCACTTTATCCTTTCTATTAATCTGTTTGACATGAATTGAGCTACTATGGTGGCAATTTTCATCTTTGTTCCAAAGCTTCAGATATGTTGAAACCTCATATTTTCATCTGATTTTATCTCCCATCACAGTGACTTGAGAGTGGATTTTGTGTAATGGGTTGAACTATGTTACCTGATTTTGTTGGATTGTTGAGCTATTTTGTAATGGCCCAAAGAACAATTTACTCTGTTCCATAGCAACAAGCCTCTTGCTCACATTTTTCCATCTGGTATTTAAAGCCTTTAAAGCCTGTATCTTGAAGAGATCTGTTTTGTTAGCTGACAATCATCACTCATTTGCTTTTGGATTTAGTATTCCTGACCTTCTCATTATTGCTCATTCTATATCATCTCAGTTTCAAATGAAAAAGCACTTGGAGTTGTTTACTTAACAGAAGAATTTAAATTTCCTCATCTGGAAAACAAGGGGTTAAATTAAAAGGTCCTTGCCAGCTGGAACCATCTTTGATTTTATGATTTTATAAAACTAGGTTTTCAATGACCTGTGTATGTGTTTGACAGCTCACCTAGACTGTAGCCTGTGAAAGGCAAGGCCTGTGGCCCATGAACACTCATTCACTAGATGGTGAATAAGTGAAAAAATGGCCACATAAGCCCAGGCAACCTTGGGATTAAAAAAGCCATTGCTTTGTAAAGAAAACTTCAGCCATATTTTGTAATTTTGTCATATAGATTTTCCAAAATATTTTCAGGGATTTCTTAGAAGTAAATCCCTGCCTGAGAAACAAGGAGAGTACAAAAAATATAGACTAAAAGGAAAAATCTCAAGGCTGAACCAAGACCTAGAACCCCTGGCTGCCTCCTAAGACGTTTCATGCTCTTGGACTTCTCAGCTTCCCAACCATGAGCCAAATAAACTCTGTGCTTTATAAATTACCCAGTCTGTGCTATTTCATCATTCCAGCAGAAAACAAACTAAGACAACATCCTGCCTTTTGACACCTGCACATGTCCACACCAACACTATGTTCTTATCAAAAATGTGGTCAGACCATACGTTTCATCTAGTAAACTGCATTTAGAGAAACAGTCTTAACATCATATCAGAGATAATTTTCTGTTCAATAAATTTAAGTCTTTACTGTCACATTTAATCACTGCGTGTTTGGTTATATTTAACCAATCCCCTACTGACTCATGTTGAGATTGTCTGCAGTGTTTCACTATTGCATGTATGTGATGTTGGAGTTAGATGGGATGAGATGTTTGAAGAAAGCGTAGATTTAAAATTATCATTGTGGAATTTGAGTTCACTATACAAATTCTTCACATTTTTTTCCAAGGGATTGTAACAAACTGGTCAACATACAGAGATGGGCAACAAGGAACCAAGCCTACTCTACTGATGTGTACATGTTGTATATGTCCAGTCTATGAAATTAGGTCAACTTAAGGGGGTGGTCAATGTGGGGAGGTGGTCAACTATGGAGGTTCTACTGTAATTAAAAATACCTTATACACTTTTGTACTTTAAAAAGTTATACATATACTTTTTAAAAATTTAAATATGTACAAAAAAACCATATTTCCTGGCAAATTTTATATTTACTTATGTATTTATTTTTGAGACAGAGTCTCACTATGTTGCCCTCAATAGAGTGGCATCCCAGCTCACAGCAACCTCAAACTCTTGGGCTTAAGTGATTGATTCTCCCGCCTCAGCCTCCTAAGTAGCTGGGACTACAGGAGCCCTCCACAACACCGGGCTATTTTTTGTTGCTGTTGTCATCATTGCTTAGCAGATCCTGGCTGGGTTTGAACCTACCAGCCCCAGTACATGTGGCCGGTGCTGTAATCCCTGAACCATAGGTGCTGAGCCAGTAAATTTTAAATATGTACATGTTAAACTTAAGTTGTGACATTATTTTTTAAAATATCTGATGAAAAGAATGAGATCCTGTCTCTACTAAAAATAGAAAAACTAGCTGGGCCTGGTGTCACATGCCTGTAGTCCCAGCTACTCCAGAGGCTGAAGTGAGAGGATCACCTGAGCCTAAGAGTTTGAGGTAGTTGTGAGCTACTATGATGCTATGGCACTCTCCCCAGGGTAACAGAGTGAGACTTTGTCTCAAGAAATTTTTTTTGATGGACTAAAGATATAGTGATTTAATACTATAAATCTATAGTATAGACTATGTATCTATCTTAGTCTATTTTTTAAAATAATAAATTAACTCCTCTTTAATAGTATGAAATGCTACCTACAGTTGACTCTTGAACAAGTTGGTTTGCATTGTGCGGGTCCACTTATATGCAGATTTTCTTCCTCCTCTGCCACCTGTGAGATAGCAAGGGCAATGCTTCCCCTCCTCAGCCTACTCAGTGTGAAGATGACAAGGGTAAAGACCTTCTGGTGACCCTCTTCCACTCATTGAATATATTTTCTCTTCTTTAGGATTTTCTTTATATTTTTTCTAGCTTACTTTATTGAAGAATACAATATCTAATATTAATATGTATAACATATAAAATATATTAATAAATGTTTATATTATCCATAAGTCAACAGTAGGGTATTAGTCATGGTGTTATGGGGGAGTTAAGAGTTATGTGTGAATTTTTGACTGTGTACGTGGTGAGGGTTGGCATTCCTAAGCCCTGCATTTTTCAGGGGTCAACTGTAATTCCCTTTTCTTCTTGAGTTACTAATTCTGTTCTACTTTCCTCAGAGTTTTTATTCATGAATATATTTTTACACTAGGAAAAGTCTTTTATTGTCAACCATTGCAATAAAATTTGTGTGCCCAAATTTAAACATTTAAAATCTCCTGGGAGGCTTGGCACCTGTAGCACAGTAGTTACAGCCCCAGGCATATACACTGAGGGTGGCCAGTTCAAACCCGACCCAGGCCAGCTAAAATAACAATGACAACTGCAACAAAAAAATAGCCAGGTGTTGTGGCAGGCGCCTATAGTCCCAGCTACTTGGGAGGCTGAGGCAAGAGACTTGCTTAAGCCCAAGAATTTGAGGTTGCTGGGAGCTGTGATGCCACAGCACTCTACTGAGGGTGACATAGTTAGACTCTGTCTCAAAAAATAAATAAAATAAAATAAAATAAAAAATCTCCTGGGAATATGAGAAAATTTGAAAATGTATATTACGTATTCAAAAGATAACGTATTTAGGATAACATAAAAGGGCTGTTTTTTCCTCCAGCTAGGTAATAGATCTATGAATGAGTGTTACTCATTGGTAGAATGAAAAAGGGGCAGTATTGGGTGGTGCCTATGGCTCAAAAGGGTAGGGCGCCCGCCCCATGTGCTGGAGGTGGTGGGTTCAAACTCAGCCCCAGCCAGAAACTGCAAAAAAAGGGAGGGGACATTATCAGTTTTTTCTTATTTTTCATTTTTATGTAGTGAGTGGCAAGAATTTTTCACATAAATCAAGTAGCTGGGAATGGAGAAAATTTTGTAATAGCAGTATCTCTCAATTCCTTGAACTCCTCCTGAGTTATAAAAATTATATGATAATCTATCCCCAAAAATATCTTTAATGATTCATTAGTTGCTAAGCGGTTAAATCTTCTGTCATTTTATTGATGGAAAAGGCCACACTAGTACTAGAGAAATTTCATAGGGTGTTGGGCACAAACATTGGTAGGAGCACATTTGAGCCTGGTCAACAGGGATAGTCTATCTTCTGGGCCGTGTGCTACTCAGTGGTAGCCCAGAAAAAGGGAAGTAGCATTCAACCAGGGCTGTAATTTTATCAGATGTGTATTAAACTGAAAGGCAACAGAAATATGAAATAATACATGGTGGAATCTAACATGGACAAGGATAACGGTGAGAGAAGGTGGCAGGTGCACTGGGCAAAAGTGTAGATGGAAGAAGTAAAGAGGATTCTACGAGGTGAAAGGTTGTTTGTAGCAGTTCAAGTAGCAAATAGGTATTAAAATTTAGTGGGGTCAGATGTGTGATTCAGTGGCTTTGAAGGGGGAGCCGTATAAGCCAGGAACATGTCCCAGATGTGGTCCTGGCTTTTGTGGCTGAAGTGAATTAGAACAAATGACTGAAGATAAATTCATGGAAATAGGTGACCATGGTTTTCAAAAGGGTTGAAACCATTCAAGATAGAGGCAGGGCTTGGAGCAAGGGAAATAGTATGAAACAGAAGATACCAACAAATTTGAAGGGGGGAGGGAAACAGATGCTAATTAGCCATTTTGGGGAGGGGGACAGAGTCTCACTTTGTCCACCCCTGGTAGAGTGTCATGGTGTTATAGCTCACAGCAACCTCAAACTCTTGGGGTCAAGTGATCCTCTTGACTCAGTTTCCCAAATAGGTGGCACTACAGGTGCCCACCACAATGCCCAGCTAGTTTTTAGAGATAGGGTCTTGCTCAGTTCAGGCTGGTCTTGAACTCCTGAGCTCAGGTAATCCACTAGCCTTGGCCTCCCAGAATGCTAGGATTACAGGCGTGAGCCACTGTGCCTGGCCTCAATTAACCATTTTTAGTAACTTATATCTTTAAATTAGAGCTTTTGAAGTCTCATTTATATTATGACAGAGAAAGAGAAAATAGACATCATTTACTTCTTTGGATAAACAAAGGCAAACCTCTGTCTTTTATGACTCTAAACTCAACCCCATGTGGTATCAAATCTTGAAATTAAGTCAGCTATAGTATAGACTCTTTAAAAAAAGATGTAGGTATTTAGTAGCAATAAATGACTATGGTTCATTAATACATGATTCTTTTCTTTCTTTCCGTTAAAGATAGTGTTTTTAGAAGAAGCATCTCAACAAGAAAAACTGGCCAAAGAATGGAGCTTCAAGCCATGTGAAATACGAGAACTGAGCCACCAGTAAGTCATCATCAACGTCTTTTCTTTTCCTGAATACTGTTAACTAGGTTCAAGTTATAGGAAACTATAACTTTTTAAAAAAAAAAAAAATTGGCTCAGCGCCTGTGGCTCAAGTGGCTAAGGTGCCAGCCACATACACCTAAGGTGGTGGGTTTGAATCCAGCCCGGGCCACCAAAACAACAATGACGGCTGCAACGAAAAAATAGCCAGGTGTTGTGGCGGGCACCTGTGGTCCCAGCTACTTGGGAGGCGGAAGCAGGAGACTCGCTTGAGCCCAGGAGTTGGAGGTTGCTGTGAGTGATGCCACAGCACTCTACCCAGGGGGACAGCTTGAGACTCCGTCTCAAAAAAAAAAAAAGAAAAATTAAAATTAATTAATTATTCTTAAGGGGAAAAGTGAGAAAGAGCAGGTAAACAGAAAGCTGAAGGGTGCTGAGTTTTGAGAAATAGAGGCTGCCATTATCCATTTATTTCTCGAGCAAATATTTGTTGAGTCCAATACGTGTAGTACTAGGATCTGGAGGTGAAAAAGATCTTCAGGGTCCTGGTCCTTATTAGATTTACAGCCCATGGGTGAATAGGAGGGTGATTCTGCCAGTAAACAAGTAAACAGATACATAAGTATGACAGTGGTAGATTGTGATATCCTCCGTGGAAAAGTCAAGGAGATGAACAGGCATAATTGAGGTGAACTACTGGGGAGTAGGGAGGGAGATTTTGAGGATCAATTACTCCAACAACTGGGTTAGGGAGGGCCTATGACCAGAAGTGCATCAGAGATGTGATTTTATATTTCAACTTTTTTTAGTGGCTTTTAATATTTTATAATTTTTTTTTT